TACACTGCTAAATTAGGGACGGCTAGTGCAGATAGCCCTCGTGTAGCTTTGCGCGAAATTCCAAAACAAACAAACAAAACAAAACATAGGGAACATGGGTCACCTGTTGCATTGTCTCTGGAGACCTGTTCCTCAGGACTCCACACTGTACACATGTCCCCCCTACTGCTACCAGTGGAGGTAGGGAATTCTTCCCACACCCAGTTCCCAGTTGCTGGGGTGGTGGACAGAGGATTTTCCTTTGGAGTGCTGAGTTTTCTCCACTTTTTGAGAAGAGGGCAAAGATGGGGACCCCCCTACCCAGATTCCTGGAAGTTTTTTCTAGGTGTCAGTAGAAGCAGGATCTACGTACGTGGGAGCCGACTCATAGAACCGGTCCAGATTTGATGCTCAGCTATCTGGTGGGGATGTGCTTGGACCCTCTTATGAACACTGTCAGGTCTAAGGTTGTTCATGCAGGGTGCCCACTATCTCCTTGTAAATCCAAATGTGATGCGGTCCCATCTTAAGCCCTTGGTGGAACAGTACTTTATGTCCTCTCCATATTTCCATGGGTAAGTGGAATTCTCCTTCCCCACTTGGTTGGGGAGTGAAGATGACTGTAAAGATGTTTGTAAATCCAGACCAGATGAGTTCTGGACCTTGGGTAGACTATGGCAAATATGATCCCTTCTATCCAGGCCTGAGACGTCACCTTTTGGACTTCTTCAGGTTGATCAGAAGGATTGTCCACTTTAGTGTTGCTTTCTTTCTTTCGTAAATCCAGTAGTTCGAAACGCATCATACTGTGGCTGCTGGTGAAAATCCTATCACAAAGATTTGGCTATATTTGTGGTCCCACTACCCCAGCCACCAATATGGGACATGGGTACCATGAACCCTTAAATCCAGCCCTGAGTTGTGGAACCTTGGCTGTGTAGTTGGGGCTGGCCCATCATACTTACTTGTGTAATATTCCACCCTTTTCACTTTTCTGTAGTTCTGGGTGAAGAGCATACCTGTTCTGGTTGTAGTGCAGTTTTCCCTGCTTGGGTACCACTTCACATGGTACACCTTTGTTCTATGCAGACTCTTTCTGTATGAATTATGCCCTCACTGGCCCCTCTGCCTTCTCAATGTGGGATTCTAGCTATAAGTGTCAGTGGAGGTATGTATGTTTTGGAAGTTATCATTTTCCTAATCTGAAAATGTATTTTCACAGATAAGTACCTCTGCTGACACTCTCCCTCCCTTCCTCCCCACTAAGAGCCAGTGTTAGTGACAAGGATGGGGTGAGTCTCAAAAAAAGTGATTATATTGTCGACATACAGTGCTTATATAGAGGGCGTGTCAGGGCTGATGTAAAGTTTTGCAAATTAGATATTGCCAAGAGTAGTTGAGTGGGGTATAAAAGATGGAGCAAGTGAACATGATATTTAGATGGCAAAGATGATCGAGAAATAGCTATAAGTGTCAGCGGAAGTAAGTATCTATGTACATGCATTTTCAGATTAGGAAAATGATAAATTTACTTTTGAATTATTTCTTCTCTGTTTAAATAAGAAAGTAGTTATTTGGTGTTTCCTGTAGAATATTTTATTGTTTGTTTGAAAAAACAGTTGTTGGACATTTTGTTTCAAATAATTTCTTGTCTGTTTAAATAAGAAAGTGGTTAATGGGTGTTTCCTTTATATTAATTTCTGGTCTGTTTGAATAAGAAATATGTTATTGGGTGTTTCCTTTAGAATTATCTCTTGTTTATTTAACTCTCTCAGCACAGGCTCAGTCCCTGGGACTGACCTCATAACCATTTTGTGCTTGTTATACTTTGTGATGTAACTTTTAAATTAGTAAGCGAATGTTAATGAAATTTGGCAGAATATCAGTAAACATTTCAATGCTTAAATATGCAACATATTAAACTTTTTTTATTAAGTTTTAAGGTTTATAAAGCAATGTTTATTTCATGTCGTTTTTTTTTGACATGTTGCCTATCTATCATGCAAAGTAATATTCATTTTAAGATTAAAAATACTTTTATGCATCAGAAAATTTTGAAATTTTACATGCGAGATCTTTATAATGTTGAGATTATCAAATTATCAAATGTTTTTGAAGAAAAACTTTTTATTTTATCTGTTATTTTCAGTAATTAATCTTTGTATGGGTTCGGTAGATTTTGACCGATCTTGCAACAACCATAAAAAATTACAAAATAAATATAAATTATGCCTCTTTCATTCTAGAATGAACACAAGAACATAAATGTTTAGACTAAATAGCTTAAATCACATAACACTATACATTTATGTATATTTATTATTTTTATTATATTGACCATTCAGCCATGCCTGGCAAACAATACAGAAGTTACAAAGATGCAGCTCACGTGCACTCATGTTACCATATCAAATAACATAAAACTAACCTTAGGTCTGTGCAAAGTAAATTGTCTTGGCTTAGTAGACTAGTATTTTGTAAAATACAGTCACATTTCAATTATTATACATTATGTATGCATGTATGTAGATTATTGCTATTTTGAAACAAGTTCTTAAACATATTTTTCCTAAAACATAGAACAGTTACAACCTTTGTACTCGGTTGCTGCTTGACGTAGGTTGCTAAGCCTTTAAAAATTTTGTAACATGGAGGATGTGAAACGAAATATTTTTTGGGGGTTTCATATATATATATTTGAATAACTAAAAAATCATAAATTACTACATTAATACCATAGAATTCCACTATAATTTATCAAGCTTAGTAACTAAGATGTATTTTAGTCTAAAAAAAATATGAAATTTCAAGCAGACTAAACAGACACCCTACTTAGTTGAAATATTGGTTCAAAAGAAAGAAATGGCGCCAAGTCTGTTAAAATGGCTGAGAAAGCCAATAGGGGGACATTTTGAGCTTCCGATTGGTTATTCATGTCACATATAGAAGCAAATGTATATAAAGGAGCGTTTCCAAAAAAGGAAAGAGGTGGGTGGGGTGCCACTGTGTTTGATTTATTACATGATCAATATCGTAGCAAATTGAAAAGATAAGAGGCTCTTATTTTATATTCTAGGTTGTTAGTATTGGTAATTTGAGTTTCTAATTTGTACAAAACTATAGACTTAGTATTTTGACTTCACAAACATCTAATTTGAACCAGTGCTGCATTCATCATACCATGTGACATACAAAAATCAATGTTTATCTGTGTTTTTTTAATATTTGCTTTAAATTAGGAAATTGAGTAATATAAAGTACTAAAATTTGAATTATAATCCACAGATTGATACCAAACTTATTGACATAAATTCATGAAATAGTAGTTTAATAAAATAGCTATAAGTGTCAGTGGAGGTAAGTATCTTTGGAAATACATTTTCAGATTAGGAAAATGATAACTTTCCTCTTGAATTATTTCTTCTCTGTTTAAATAGGAAAGTGGTTATTGGGTGTTACCTTTAAAATAAATTGTTGTCTCTTTAAATAAGAAAGTTGTTATTGGATGTTACCTTTAGAATAATTTTTTCTCTTTTTTAAAGAAAAAATTATTGTTTTTTGTGTTTACTGTAGAAAAACTTCTTGTTTTGTGTTGCATGTCAATACAAAACATGGAACTTCAGCTAATGAAACTGCCTTTCTCTAAATTATTCCAGTATAAAGAAAAAATGTTGTATGAAATGATAACATTAGGATTTATTTCTGTTAACCCTTTCAAATGTTGTTTGATTTTAGAACATATCTGTTCCAGTGAAAATGGAACATCCTGGTGATCTGCTACAAGATGATGTTATTTCAACGTTCAGTTACAGTGATGATGAGGATCAGGATAATTCACACTATAATGTTATGAATGTGAAAACAGAAACTGAATTTCAAAGAGATACTGAATCTGATTTAGAAAGAACATCTGGTAGGTAGAAACATCATCTAAAACTTAAGTTGGTTGACACTGGCTCAACACTTACCATATGAACTTGTCGGTATAACTGACCTTGTAACCCTAAAGTAAACATAAAAGTTTCTAACATGAAACTACAACTTATGTCTCTATTCCCATCTCCCATCCTCCCAACTCTTACCAATTCCTGCTAGTCAGGGTACTTCTTTTCATCAATTTCCTTGACGACGAAATATTCGTCGCCAACAGTACTGATGACTACCTTGTGGGTTTGGTGCTGGTAGGAGCTTGACTGTTGAACTTTCTTTCTCGCTGGCATCTGTTCATCGATGATCAATGGGTGATATGGGTTCTATCAGAAAAATTCATTCTCTAGTTTCTTTCCCCTCTTCCCCCTCTTTCGTTGCCACATTTGCTTTCCTCTTCCTCCATATCCTGTGGTATGCCAGCATTTGTCAGAGGCAGTTCAAGAATTGCTTTCACAGCAGGATATTGAACTGGTTGGCTACCCTTCTGAAAGTTTTTATTCCCGTCTTTTCATGGTTTCCAAGAAAATCAGGGATTGGTGACCAGTTATTGATTTATCTCACCACAACCACTTCATCGCACTTCCCAAGTTTACCGTGGAGTCTTTTCTCACCCTGAGATGTTTGCCAGGAATATGGATGACAAAAATGGATCTCTCCAATGCTTACCTTCACATCCCATTTGCCCAGCAGTCTTGATCTTATTTTCCCTTCGGACTTGCATCAGCTCATGTGTTTTGTCACATCATCTGGGTGTTTGCTTACCATCTTCATGCTCTAGGGATGTGATTTCATTTTTACATGGATGACTGGCTCCTACTGGCTCATTTCAAACAGAAAACGGCCACTTATACCCACCAACTCCTTTCTGTGGCAGCTCAAGCAGGCTGGTTTATCAAACTGGAGAAGTCGTTCCTTTGACCTACACCATACCTGATCCATTTAGGGGTCTTTTTTGACACCAATATCAGTTTTGCTATGCTTTCTTTACATCTTCGGACCATGGAACTTTTAATTCACCGAGCCCTCTCAACTTGATCATTTACTGCTCGCAGGTTTCTATCACTTTTGGGGATGGGGTCCTCAATGACTGCATTTATCCCTCTCGGTAGTGCCCACATGAGATCCCTGCAATGGGTGCTTCACGACAGATGGAACCTTGCTTGATATTCTCTTTCCACCATCATCTCCACTCCTCCTTCCCTGCGAGATGATCTGCACTGGTGGTGGGAGAAAGCTCATATCGGTTTGCCACTTCCTCCCCCATGTCTGGATCTACATTTGTTCACGGATGCATCCCTTCAAGGGGGGGCATGGATCAATCACCAGGAAGCTTTGAGCTGTTAGTCAGCAGATGACTCTGTCTTGCATATCAATGTTCTCAAACTTCTGGTGGTACATCTGGCTCTACATCACTTCCTTCTTTTTGTCCATCATTGTCTGGTGATGGTTCATTTGGACAATTCTATGGTGGTGGCACATAACCATCTGTTTTCAGATGTTGGAGCTCTTATACTGGGCCCATGCATGTCACATTCATCTTATTGCAAGTCATGTGCCTGGTGTTTTCAATCTCGTCGCAGATCATCATTCGAGGTACAACAAGTAAGGTCTGTTGTGAAGCAACTGGATATTTTTGAGGGACTTTTACAATTGGTTTAGTATGTTTAGTAGTTGAAAAGAGTTTAAGAACGAAGTTATAACAATTTTCTGAGTTTTTGAGTGAACATATACATGGAGAAATGGCGTAAGTAAGGCCGAGAGCTAGAAAGTACAACTAGCTGGATCAGTGGCATTGAGAATCATGTGAAACTATTGCTTAACAATGAAGTAAGTGCACTAACACCCATGGCAGGTTGTGATGGATTACTGATGCTTACTCATTAGTACTGTGGAAGCTACGAAAAAGTTCATATTAACACTCAAAAGTGGTACTTTGATGCCATATTTCTTACATGATGCTAGCACAAGCGGAAAGGCAACCGGCTAACTCACCATAACAGTAACCAATCACATGAGAGTTTTGGTGTTGAACTAGCCCAGGAAATTGCACAAATTGATCATTAAAGTGTTGCGGGTAGTTCTGGATACTATCTGGAAGGGCAAGAGAATATGGATTAAAAACTCATGTCTGAAGTTGAAAAATCAGTTAGTTCTTGGAGTTCCCCAATAGTTCTTCAGTTCTGGCTAGTTCTAGAAGTTCTAGAGTATCAGCATTCCAGCTTCTATGAGTATGAAAGTCTCCACCTTCCCGAAATTTACTGGTTCGACTCTATTGTTTGTATAGAATTATTGTCTCTCTTGGTAAATTAATGTAGGTCCTGCAAAGTCGTGTTGACAGCCTGAAATGCTCCCTTGTGGTGCATTCATCCCACATTATTAATTCACAATCAACTAGGACTTGTACAAGGGCACTCCCTTTTGAAATGTTGCAAACAGGGGACTCTTGTCAGGATAGACCCAGTGGAAGCTTGAATGTGGAATGGACAGTTCTTCTTCCAGTAAGCAGAGTGGCTGCAATCTCTGATGATGCCCCAGCTAGAGCATGTTGAGAAAAAATGTCTTCCCAGTGCTGCCAGGTGTATCAAAGAAAAACATGCCTCCATTTTTAGCCTCAGTATCTTCCAAGATTTTTTATTGGCTTCTCTCTGTTCAACCTTCAGTTTTGGTACATTTTCCTCAATAAAATCAAGAAGTTCCAAAACACATAGGAAATATTCACTTATGATGTCTTGGGCAAGGGCATGCTAATTGTCCCTGGAGGGTGTTGGTAGGCCCATAGACTTGAGTTCTTTCGCACCAGTGGAAAGAAGTTTGTCTTCAGTGAGGATGAGGGCCTGATTAAAGATGATATCAGAAAAGTTCACCTCGAGATTTGGATTTTCTCTCTGAGCTCTGAGTAGAATGTCTTCACTCTTGTCTTCCTTGTATTTCTGCCAGAGTCTCATGGGGTTGGACAGGCAGTAAACTTAAAGAATGCTGCAGAAGAGTAATCTCAGTTGAGAAGGGAACTCTGTCATGGCACTCTTAAGGTGTTGATCATCTTCAAGGATTCCACAAAGATGGCAAGCTTCCCTGTATGTTTGACAGACAACTCCTTCCACTGTTCTGAGGTCTGGGAATGATTTTGGCCCTTTGGCAACATGGAGAAGCATTTGCAGAAATTAGCACTGCTTGTTGTTGGGATGAACTGCATAGACTCTTCATAAGGCATCAGATTCACTATCACCAGCATGTCACTTCCATTTCTGTTGAGCAGTCCAGATGTAGTAGTGTTCATGATGGAGCAGGTTGGAAGCAAATGGATCACTTTGGCACAACTCAAAAAATGCCATTAGGGTTGTATTTTTGGGAGCCAAGACCTGTTCTTGAGCAGGTGAAGTAGATGCATTGACCATTTTTGCTGGGGAGGGGGGAGAACACTTATGGTTGGGGAAGTCAAGAATTCTCCAAATGGCCTCATTGCTGCTGATGTATCTTCCCATAACAAAAAGCTGAACTTCATCCACAGTTCCCCCTCTCTTTGCAAGGCAAAAACAGCCATGTCAGATCCTTTGTTGCAAACATATTTCATGAATTTCACAGAATTGCAGAATTCCACATTCATGTGAACCTCAAAGATCTTGCACAGAAGAGTGCAGTAGAGAATGATCCCCTGACTGTTAACCTTCATTTCATAGTTAGTACCAGGTCTGAGCATTGCTTCAAAACCATCATCTTCAGGTTTTCTGTGATGATATAGAGGATAGCCATAATGCCCTGTCTGAGTTTCTTGTAAGATGTTTCTGGGAAACTTCTTGGTATACTTGCAGGCCTGCATTGAGGTTGAATTTGGATTGAGCTTCCTACTTGGGCCATGGACCATTTTCTTACGGACCACATCAAATAGGTCAGGGTCTTTATCAGAGTCAGGTAGCCAGCACTGATAAATGTGTCAATCATCACTTGCATGAATCTCTTTCCTCAACCATACCAAGATGTGGACATAAGGAAGGCCATATTTTTGCCACTCAGTGGTCTGCAAGTGGTCTTCCCAAAGACACCATCATCCATTGTAGTGATCAGCCTCTTCAGTTCATCAATTTTAAGTTTAAACACCCTGCCAGTGATATCATGTATCTCTATTAGCTTTTGGTTTTGATAAAGCTCATATTGGGTTTTTGATTGCAAATGAAGGTGATGAAGAGATTGAGCTTGCCATATTATCTGACATAGGTCATCGCATCTTGAGCCTTTTCATGTTTGTGTCTTAGTCCACCTCTGAAGGATGAAAGCAAAATAACCAATCTCCCCATATTCTGAGCATTTGCATCTCTATCAGCATTGACAGCATCCCTGAGATGAACTTACTGTTCTACACTCAGGTGTTTTTGATTGAGTTGAATGTAACAAAAATGCACACTCTCAGTTTGGCATATTCATCCACGACATAATGGTAAAAAAGGTTGGCGTACTGTAAGATGTGGTTTCCTCCTTGGAGGAGATAGCTTTGTTAGAATGAGCCTGACCTGTCACTGATAATTTTAGGAATCTTGAAGTGGTACCCATCTTGACCTTGCCAAAGGATCATGAGATGTTGTAGGACATCATAGGCTCTATTTGGCTCAGGAATTCATTTGATGGTGTTGTCTTGGTATAACTCCATGCATGCTTCCCCCCCCCCTTTTCCAGAGACCTTGTCCGCACTGATTACAACCTAGTAATTATTGGAGGTGACTTGTTGAGATGAATGTTTGAAACTTCGGATCAATGAATTGTGGAGTAAATCCAAACAGACTTGGGCTCTTCAACATTCTATGCTAGACTTGGCCTTGAACTGTGATGCACCAAAAGAAGTCATTTGAAGGCAAGAATTGTACTTCCTGATTTTGGCCAGAAAGTGCTTTGACTGAGAGGTGTTTGACCAGAAACCACAGATTTCAGTGGCTCAGGAGGGGTCTCTACAAGGCTAAGCTTGACTTTTCCATCACTACATTCCCTTAGATT